GTTTAGGGTTTAGGGGTTTCAGGGGTTTAGGGGTTTAGGGGTTTAGGGGTTAGGGTTTCAGGGTTTAGGGGTTTAGGTGTTTAGGGGTTTCAGGGGTTTAGGTGTTTAGGGGGGTTCAGGGGTTTGGGTTTGAGGGTTTAGGGGTTTAGGGTTCAGGGGTTTAGGGTTTAGGGGTTTAGTGGTCAGGGTTTAAGGATTTATGGTGCCTTGCACCCGCAGCAGATCCTAAAAGCCGGCGCCTAGTCAACTAAAACCTCACAACCTCCCCCCCTGCCCAAACCCCGAACCTTGAATCGTTCGTCATTCAGGCGATGAATACGCTTCTGCTGCAAGGCTCGGCATGTATGTTGCAGTCAAAAACACCCCGAGCTTCGGGGTGAAGTGAGCTATGTACTGCTGAACTTAAACTTGTTACTGATTCAGAGTTTAGGATTTAAGGGATTGGTTTATGCTGCTTTTGAAACTACACTTTTAAGCCTTAACCCTAAACCCGAAACGACGGACATGACAGCAGGCCAGTTTAGGTTAGGGTTCTGCCTAGCTTAGACTTACGATTGATGGTAGAAATCCTGCATTACCTTCAGGACCCTAAACTATGGGAATTATGGTAGAGGCCTCAATCGGTCGACCCCAGTGTATCGTAGTAGCTGAATCAGTACACTGTACACTTTTTGGGATAATATGATTCTTCAAAACACAGAAAGTGTACACTTTTTTGGGCTTCTGAACTCAGCAACTAAGGTAAAGGTTCAGTGCTTGCAGTCTGGGTCTTTGACACTTATCAACCCGTGAACTGATAGCCCCTTGATTCCCAAAAGGCCTAAGACGCGTTTGTCCCAATAATCCCTTCCGATACACCCTCAAACCCTGCTTGGACCTTACCCAGAGGGTCCAAGTACCCAAACAGTAGGGATTCAGGTCCCAAATTCCATATTCTGAATGGTTTTTGGCACCTGAAACCCTACTATTTGAGTACTTGGACTCTCAGGGTTAAAAACCTCCATCTTGTTTACGGCCTGGCTAAGGAAATCACAGCAATACCCGAAAAGGAAGATGGGTGTAGGTTGTGGCAAACCTCAGATTAGGGCAGCTCGATTTAGGGCAGCATCGAAGCAGGCCTCTTTCCAGAGAGCCACTTGGACGAAGCTTTGGCTTCAGACGCGCGCCCTCTTCAAGGATCTTTATGTGTGTATGTGCGCATGCATGCATACATACATACATACATACATACATACATACATACATACAGACATGCAGACATACAGACATGCAGACATACATGCATACATAAATGCATACATACATACATACATACATACATACATACATACATACATACATACATGCCTACATACCTACATATCTACATACTGTACCTACAGAATTGCCTACATACTTACATACATGTTACCTTCATACCGACATACATACCTACATGCATACGTGTGTTTATTCATTTGTTATACGCATGTGTATATATATATATATAAATAAATAAATATATGCATACATGCACGTAATTGATGTTCACACTTTGTTAGCGTCATACCTAGTTGAACTAAATGTACACACACTTGTCTGGGCTGTAGCAAACTTGTTTCTGACTATTCTTTTGTTGGGGTTAAGGGTTCATGGCTTTGTGATGGAAGTGTTCGGGGTTTAGTGGTATACATGCATGTTTAAGTACTTTGCGTATATGCATTCATGCATGTATGCATGTATACATGTATGTGCGTATGTATGTATGTACGTATGTATGTATGTATGTATGTGTGTAGGTGTAGGTGTATATGTATACATACATACTACATATGTATATGTATATATATATATACATGTATTTGTTTATACACACATGTCTCTGTATGTTTATGAAACACATGTACATATGTCCATCCAATACATATCATACATATACGTATGTATATACACATTTTATGCCTACTAGGTTGTTTACACGCCTGTTTGCCTGTCTGTCTGTTTTTCTGCCTGCTGCCTGCCTGCCTGCCTGCCTGGCTCTCTGTCTGTCTGTTTGTCTGTATGTTCTGTCTGTCTGTCCGTCTGAGCGTGCTAACGTGTCTATCTGCGTTTCTACCTGCCCATTTCGCTTTTCTGTCTCTGTAGCTCAGTAGGCGACCTTCAACCTTCCGTCTCTTCTTTTTAGGGTTTAGGGTTTAGGGTTTAGGGTTTAGGGTTTATACTTCTACCAGAACTGTTTTGAAGCAAGCTGCACCTTGTTTTATGGCTCGTGGAACGGAGCCCTAAACCTTCAACCCAAAGTGAGATTGTGTTGGCTTGACCGCTTGACCTAAGCTGAACCCAAAATCCTAAATGGGGTTTTGGATTTTGAATAAGAACCGAATTCTAAACCCAAAGCCCTCAACCCAAGTACCCTTCACAGAAACCCTGAGACCCAACCCTCGGCTTTAAATTTCGGTGAACTTTTGTCCGGTTCTCTTTACGTACATGCAACCACACAGGTGTATACCTGTGTTGTATGTAGTGCTACTATCACCAAACTGCGGATAGCTCAACATATGCAAACCCCAAACCCTAGACCCTAAACCCTAAAGTCTAGACCCTAGACCCTAGACCCGAAACCCTAAACCCTCCATAAATCCTAAACCCTAGACCCTAAACCCTAAACCCTAGACCCTAAACCCTAAACCCAACTATCCTCATCCTTTGCCCGAAACACTAAAGCCCGGAACCCTACCGATCCAAAACTCTGAACCCTGAGCCCCTGGACCCCAGACCCCAACCCACAAAGCCATGTATATAGGGACTTAAATATCTACCAAGACTATTTTGGGGGTTCCTTCTTGTTACTATAGTATGGTCTACCCGCAATCCCTGTTCTGAGTATCACTTGGAGGGTCGGGGGACGTAGTAAGTAGTTATTTTACAGACTGTATCTACTTATTATTTATTTAGTCTTACTTACTAAGTCCCCCGACCCTCCAAGTCAGGTAAACCCTAAATCCTAAACCCTAAACCCTAAACCCTAAACCCTTATCCTGCATCTTTTTTGCTTGCGTGTAAGGTACGGAGTTGATCTCGGCGATCACAGGGGGCTCGAGCTGGTCACCTGGCTTGTAACTCGGAGTTTCCGAAAATAAGGGGTACCTTATTTGGGGGTCTTTATAATAAGGTTCCTACTGTTTAGGGTACTATATTAGCGTCCCCTATTTTCGGAAACCCCCAACTGGGTTTAGGGTTTAGGGACCCTAAACCCTAAACCGTCTAGGGTGCAGGGCCTAGAGTTTATACAAGCTTATGTAGGTCGTACTAGTTCAATCGATACAGACAATGAACAATGTGTGCCTGTGGCCCAAAAGACCTACCTGTTTAGGGAACTCTATGTAGCAGCCATAATAAGGAGTCCCGAAAAAGGTAGGTCTTGTCGGCTACAGGCAAGCTAAAAAGCGATATCGCTTTAGGGTTCAGGTTTGAGGGGGAGAGTGGATGAGGGAACATATGGACTACTACAAGGGATCATGTTATAAGTATATAAGGTTTTCCGAAAATAGGGGACCCTAAGTTAGTACCCTAAATAGTAGAATCCTTATTATAAGGACCCTAAACCCTAAACCCTAAACCCTAAACCCTAAACCCTAAACCCTAAACCCTAAAGTAAGGTACCCCTTATCTTCGGAAACTCCCAATATAAGGGCAGCCATAGGGATCGACTCAGCCACTCCCTTTCAGTGGGATTTCGGGTTCCGGGTTGAACCTGGAGGAACCTCAACCTCGGGTACACTTGAAGGTTTAGGGTTTAGGGTTTAGGCGGTTTAGGGTTTAGGGTTTAGGGTTTAGGGTTTAGGGTTAGTTACTTGGAGGGTCGGGGGACTTAGTAAGTAGGTATTAAGTAGACTTATATAAGTAACCTACAAGGGGCACTAATTGGGGTTATGATACTTATACGTCTATAAAATCAGTAGTTACTAATTCCCCCGATCCTCCAAGTATGAGTAGGCCTGAGCAGGCTCAACGGGGGGCTATAAGCTATAACATAGGTTTATTCAGAGATTGCGGTTGCCATGCTCGCTCGCCCTGGGTGCTTCTAACGGGTTTGGGTGCTCGCTCGGTCGTCTTTTTTTCCCCAGAGCTGGTTGCTGGTGACAGCGATCCCCTTGATGCTTCGCCGGATTGCAGGTTGACCCGCATGAAACTTCAGTGCTTTTATGAGCTATTCTCAAATCGCCTAGAGGGCTAGAGAAGTTATTATTAGGATTCCGGGAAACATCACCCCTAAGCCTCGCCCCGCTTGCGCTTGGCCGGCTTTGCACGGGACTGAGAAGTAGCTTGGTTTAACCAAGTCCAGACTATAAAGAAGGCCTGATCTCTGTTCCGTCTGCCCGCCGGAATCGACTTGAGCGATTTCTTCTTCTTGTCGTGACCACGTGGAGGGAGGTCAGCATTAAAGCTGGCCGCACAGCTGTTCCTCGGACCAGGTTACATGAAGCAATCCATATCTGCTTGTTGCGAATTGATTGAATGACCTATTGCAAGCAAGTCTCTTTCCATCGTACATGTCGCCGCTCAGTAGACGGCCTTGAAAGTGAGGAAGTGTTCGGTCTTTGTGGGTAATCATATGAGCCGATGTGCCATCGGGAAGTGGCATCTCGCGTAGCAGCTCTGCCGGGATCGACGTCGTAGTCGAAAGGGCAGCCCTGGAAGGCCTTGCAATCGTCGCTGCCGGTGATTTCGGAGCAATCGAAATGACATCATCGCCCTCACCCCCCGGTGGCACCTCGGATGTTTCGAAATCCACTGAAAACAAAGCGGTGGCTAGGAGAACAGAGAAAGAGAGCCAGAAAGAGAGAGCGAGAGAAAGAGAGCGAGAGAGAGAGAGAGCGAGTGCCAGCAAGACTGCGGTGTAGAGGCGTCGTCATCTTCGCCATCACTCATTCCAACCAGAAGCTCTCTGCAAGCCACCGCAGCTGCATCTTCTTCCAGCTCCTCCCAGTGGATCTCCGCCTGGTGTTGTGGCTTTCCCGTTATGCGTTCGGAAAAAGCAAACAAGTTAAGAACCCACGGTTTTCACGGTTTAGGGCCTCATCGCTTGGCTCGTTCGGCTTCTCTCCTTTCTTTCTTCTCTTCTCCTCCTGCTTGTCAAGCACTTCCAAGACCGCTCTGATCTTGTCCGGACTGCATTCCTGAGTGATGCAGTCCATTTGAAGGAGTCGTCTGATGCGGGCCGCCTTCGTGGTGTTCTTTGGCATTCGGATGCCACAAGAAGCAAAGAAGTCCATCAGGTTCGCAACCGTAAGCTTCAGGATGAATCCCTTCTCCACCAGAAACGGCATCAACGAAAAGGACTTCGTGCCCCGCCGCAAGACGAGGCATGAGCCAGTCTTCTCTGCCATGATCTGGTCACTCACGTGGATGGTGTAGTCGTAAAATCGCACCTGGAAGGCATACTGTTGGTGGAGGCTTTCAGAAAAGCCGAAACCCCCATCAAGATGCGACTTTAATAAATGAAAGGCCTCGTCAGCCTTCACAAGCAGCTTGCAGACCAGATGCCTGCAACCCATGTTGGGTGCGATTACATTACCCAGGAATCATGCAACCCAACCCCACCTTCCAATGTCGAGAGTGAGGGCAGGGCTGCTCTCATTCGCTGACAGCACATCATCAGCAATCACTTCGTTTGCCGGGATTCGGGTCTCATCCTTCTCCTCTGCAGGCAAAGGACCGGTAAAGGCCCAAGGCAACTCCTTGAGCTGCAAAGCCTCAGATTCTTGTGATGGGTAGGGCCTAAGGATACGAGGAGCGACGTGAAATGAGAATGGCGGCTCTGCCTGTCGTCTTCATTCAATCAAAGCCCAAGAGCATTGAGGATCGCCGGTGTTCGCCCCAAGGACAAGAAGTAGCCATCACCCCGCTTGAAAAGCATTCCTGCGAAGATGGTCTCGGGCACCCAGAAATGCGGCATTTCCGCAGCGGGATCTCGCCCCATCCTTGGCGACATAATATGAAGCAGAGCGTGGCGTCTTGTCACTGTTGGGCTTGTGTTTCTCTACCCCTGTTTGTTTGTCCATTTCAGCTGAGAAACGAATCTGCAAGCATCAAACCAGACATGAAGTTGAGCGAGTGGTGGTTGTGATGAAAAGCGGAGGTCGACGGGAAGGGCTTGCAAATGCTGTCGAAGCAAATGTTCTGGCCTTGCAATCGAGAACGTGTTCCCGGTTCCCTACATCCTAAAGAAGCAAAAGATAGCAAAGCCAACATCGTGCGAGAGAGNNTCACTCTTTCCCACCCCAGTAGCAGGGGGCGGCTGACGTGGGATTGAAGATCTTCGGCCGGAGGAAAGAAGCTTGAGCTCCGGACCAATCCCCTTTCTCAAGGCTCAAAGGCGTAGGAGTGTCCTCGCCGATGCACAATCGACGATGAAGCCCTCGGATGGCCACAGCCATGAGGTTCGCCAGGCTGCCCACATCGGACTGGCCCGACCGCTTGACAGCGGTTGTCATTTCCTTGAAAAGGCTTTCAATGTTCGATGACCATGCGACCTCGGGAAACCAGGACGAAGTGAGGCTCAAGGCCTCAGGGTGCTCCTTCCACTGGTGCTTCTCCCATCCTGACAGCACTTCACGGTAGGCTTGGTAGCCCACGTAACGACAGTGCTCGTGCAGCTCGGCCGCATTGGCCGGGCTCTGTTCAAGCCTCAAGATCATTTCCCACTCGGCTTTCATCTGGCTCAAAATGAGCCTTTTGATCTCTGGCTGCGAGCCAGGGGCGATCAGAGCGGCGGCTTTGGATGGCGAGCTTCGCAGATACAGAAAGTGCTCCAGAAGCTCTAGTGCGGCACAAAGGTACATTCCCAGCGACTCAGACAGCACTGTCTGAAACGTACAGCACCGGCGGAACTTGACATCCAATCCCTCGCGAGAAGGGCTTGGAATGTGAAGCTTGCGATGCTCAGAATGCTCAGCTCATGATCGACGAGTCGGATCGGGGAATGTTGAACAGAGAACAATGATGATTATGTAGTGTGTATCGATTTCTTGGCGATGCCCCCAAATTCTCGAAAAGATCATCGATAGGTTCTATGGTCCACTTTTCGCTGGGAAGAATGAAACCGGTTTGTCGCTTCATGTGATTTAATCTATAGCCAAATCCAAGAAAGCCAAATAATCGAGCACGTCGGTTTGTGTGTCGTCCTGAATAAGAGACCCCGATTGCCTCTTATCTGTTCTATCATAATTACGATTATCTGTACGTGTGCTTGAGCTTATAATCTCCCCAGCAAATCTTTGCTCGAGAAGCTGCACACATCGATGCTAGTAGTCTGACTACTGTTACTGAATATTCAACATGATTGTTATTCCAAATTAGTAGGTTTTCAGTTTATACTGACAATGCATTCTTGCGACCTACACGTTTTTCGCCGACTGACCAATGATCCGGCTCAGTGGTGCCCGGTTCCTGCGTGAGTTCGTTCGGTGTGCTCGACTTGGTTCGGATTCAATGTTTGCCACTCGGGGTGGCCGGGTTTCGGTTTCGAGAATTAACTGACAATTCTAGCTTCACGGCTCATGCAAGGTTGGGCGGCTCGGCTAATAATGGATAAGGTCTCTACAGGACAAGAGCAGAGCATGATCAAGTCTAATCTCGCGTTGCCTGCCCATTGATGGCCACGTCCGGGGCCATGTCCAGCACTTTCAAGGACAGGCACTCTGATGCGAGGGCCGAGATAGTCATCTCCAGCTCGTTCGTGTTTGCTCGCAGTGTGAACTTGTGCAAGGCCATCTTTCTGCTTTGCTCTTTTTGCTTAGTTGCAGACACGACATGACGACATACGAACTGCAGGTAACTATTATTTGTCGGGCAGTGCCGCTACAACTTCTGTGCAGCCGTAGCACAAGCTCCAAGCAAATCTCCTTGAAAGGATTCACGACCTGGCGGGCGAAGCGGAAGAGCCCGAAGAGCTGCTCGTCCATCAGAGCCTGTTTGGATTGGAGTGCCGAATGCGGGAGGTAATGCTGTGCCAGTGATTGCAATTGATCAGATATTATAAGGCAGGCCTTCACACACTTTTCCACGGTCCTGTCCTGACTGGATAGGCTCTCCTTCTGGAGGGCTTCCATGTTCAGCGGGTTCTTGCCCACCTGCTCCCAAGCTGGTGTGCGACTGTGTGTGCGTATGTGTGCGTGTGTCTGCGTTTGTGTGGGCGTGTGTGCCTGTGCGTGTGACATGACCCACCCAGCCGTAAACTTGGAAGCACCTCAGGATTCATTTATATCCCCATTCATTCACGAGAGAGAGAGAGAGAGAGAGAGAAAAGAAACAGAGTGAGAGAGAGAGAGAGAGCGAGAGAGAGAAAGAGAGCGAGAGCGAGCACCGGCGAGCTAGCGAGAAAGCCATCGAGTGAGCGAGAGAGAAAGATAATCGAGGGGAAGAGGGAGAGAGAGAGACTGCGAGTGCGTGTGTCTTTCGGATGTGTTACTTTCAGATAGCCAGGCAGGCTTGCATGCAGCAACACGAGCAGCGACCAAGCCGGGCCTCGATGGAGCTCCATAGGATCAGCAGCAAAGTGCTCGACATCTGGAAGTTTGCAGCAGTGTGGGCCCATGAGCACCATCGGGACCAAGAGAAGGACTCGCTGTTGTACCTAGGCTCTACATTCAAAGCACGGCTATGAATCATTCTGGGCTCAAATACAGTTCTTCCAACTGGTGCCGTGCATCCCAGCAACTTGATAGTCTTGCCGAGGATGTCGACGGTCCTCTCGAAGTTCAGCTTGGCATCCGAGGTGTAGGGGAGGCCGTTCCTCGGCTGTTTCAGATTCAGTGAGTCAGTATGACTCAGGCCAAATCAAAAACTAGTTTGATTGTTCAGTAGTGTTGAGAAACCCGAGAGTATGTTCGCGACTGCGACAGAAACAGCTTAGTCTCTCCTTCAAGATGTCCCTGCTGAAAAGCTCCATCAGCACATCGTCTTGCTGAGCCTTAGGTATTCAATCTATGCAGTCAAACCAGTTCCTGCAGCTTGTAAGTCAAAGCAGCACC